GTTTTCTTCACATGCATCGCAAAACCAACAATGGATTTGTAGGTTTGGGTTCACACGGAACACTCGCAGACAGCCGTCGTTTTTTCTTTGCCTATCTTTTTGTTTAGTTGAAACGTTTTGGGAGATTTAACCGACGATTGGTAGCAATAACATCACGGTCATACTCTTCAGTCCGGAAAACACCGTAGTCTGTGAATTCTCTAAGTAAATGGTGAAGTCGGAGTCGTCCGAATGAATGAACGCGTAAGTGGCAATGCCGTATGTAAATTGAAATATTTAAGCTTATAATTAAATTCGACTACGTAAAACATGTTTTATCTACAATAGTTTAACCCAAAACGGTTGCATATATCAAAACAGACAAAAATGACGACATTGATAAACATTCCAGGTGTAGGAATACATACGAGTGGCGTGACATGAATCAGGTGATCGTTTAATTTCTGCACATAACTTGACACGCCTACACACACTCCGGCGCAGTGGTGACTCAGCATAACACCACTGCCACAGGCTAATTTGCGTATTACGTGACCGGACTTCGCTCTTGTTTGTAAACAAACGCGCTTTTTCATAAATCAGTATAGAACGGACTAATGGGGCGCTTAATATATTGTTTTGCATAATTATATAGATATGCTACTACAACTGCGACAGTGAATTTCGTGACAATATATATTTATACATCAAAGTGACCGTATCGCTAGCTCTCCGTTTTGGCTTCGATGACAGCACGTGGAGCCGTACAACCAATGTAAACAAAGGATAACTACGCAAAAACAAATAGATTATCACGTATTAGGATACTTTCTTAATGAACCGTAACCATTCTTTGACATTTGTATGTGAAAATGTGTAGACTTGTCAAACATGAAACGGATGAAAATCATATTCAATATCTTGAATGGACATGGCACTGGCCTGTGGCAGAGGTACTATGCTGGCTGGCTGCCGACCGCATGGAACTCTGGGTAGGGGAGTGACGCCTACACAGTCAGTAGCCAATCAACGGAGAGTTGGATTAAAACAATGTTAAAACAATGTCCGAGAGAAGGCGGCTGTTTCAAATAACATGGTCATTTACTGCGTGATTCAAACATTACTTCCCAGATTACGGTAAAACACAGTTGGAGAAATGCTAGTTAGAAATGAAACCCGAAGACATGAAAGTTGAACTGAGGCGAGCGGGAAAAAAACAGGCGAGCGAGCCTGCACGTTTTTACTGTTTCATTCATTCTCGGCCTTCGGTTTCAAAGGGTAGTTTTGACATGAATATGCATGAAAGTCGCTAAATGTCCTGTGCATCACGATACATGTGAGCAGAAAGGGAATTCCCTCGACTGTAATATTGTGATTCCCCGACATTCCGCAGTAATAAAAGTAGTGCGCCGCGGTGGGCATGGCTTAATATTTTACATTCATTAGGAAATGAACACACTCCGGCGCAGTGGTGACTCAGCATAACACCACTGCCACAGTCTAGTATGCATATCACGTGACCGGACTTTTCTCTTGTTTGTAAACAAACGCGCTTTTTCAGAAATGGACTTATGCAAGTATTTGGGGGAGCTTAACATATTGTTTTGAATAATTATATAAGTATGCTACTACAGCTGCGACAGTTTGTTGCATACATCAAAGTGACCGTTTCGCTAGCTCTCCGTTGGGCTTCGATGACAGCACGTGGAGCCGTACAACCAATGTAAACAAAGTATAACTACGCAGAAACAAGTAGATTTTCACGTATTAGCATACCTTCTTAATGAACCGTAACCATTCTTTGACGTTTGTTTATGAAAATGTGTAGACTTGTTAAACATGAAACGGATGAAAAGCATATGCAATATCTTGAATGGACTGTAAAAGATATGACGAATCGTCACATGGCGCTGGCCTGTGGCAGAGGTACTATGCTGGCTGGCTGCCGGCCGCAAGGAACTCTGGGTAGGAGAGTTGGAAATGAATGCAATAACACGTGACCAATTCAGCTAATCAGAATGCAGGAATTTCCATGAACACAACGAAAATTTAATTATATGTGCTTATAGGAGCATGTATTTTGCGTAAGACACACATGTCAAGCGAACGTTTTGCAGCCAATTGACATGGATTTTTAATTAACGTGAGATAAGATAAAGAATATCCTAATCAGCTAAGAGAAGTCCTTTTATTAGATTGTCGCTGGTGGAAGATGGGGAGAACTTGGCTGTGGGAATAAACTCTAGATATGAAGTATTATTGTTTACGTGGTAAGCAGAATAGTCAGTTGGGAATGTCTGCGCAACGGCAGCGGTACAGGGAGGTTAGCACCAGGTGTCAGGGGTATCAGTTACATGCCAGATCGTAGCGCCGATAGCTTAACGGGTGGCCGTCCTTATATAAGCAACATAATCTCTACACACCAGACGAATTTCATGATTAATAACGCATATCGTTTTTATTTTCAACAAAATCAATAAAGCGCTTCCGTGCAACTTGATTTTCTGGTCCTTCGATCGCTCGATTGTCTGGTTTGATTACTGGCCACCGCCGCATGGCAACCGTGCTGCTATGCGGCGTTAGGAAGCAAACACTCCCCTTTATGCAAATTGTGTGAGTGGCGGGTATAACCGTTAGGGCGGACATGCTTACTCTTTTCATCGATCCATTCATAATAATTTCTAACGTTATTTTGCCTTTCACGTCCGATGGAATACGTTTCGGTGGGTAATCGAGACTGGTTATTCTCCGGCGTTAAGGTTACACATTTATAGTTTAAGTACATCTTTCATACTTTCTTCCCGAATACCATGTTATTCTCTTCACGTGAACAAGAGAAGATTGTCAACGCGCACGTTGACGGGGAATTAGCTCTTGGGGGAATAAAGGACAAAATCGACATCTGTCCCGGAACGCTTTATGCACAACATGTAAACAATAAACAACAATTGCACAATGAGCGGAATACCTGCTCTGACAACACAAACACAGCGATGAGCGGACATTCCAGATCAGGCGTACAAGAGGTGAGCGGAGCTCCAGCTCACCTCAGGGCGTTTCCCACGAGCGGCACATCCTGCTCGAGGCTCACGTCAGGGCGTTTCCTACGAGCGGCGCATCCTGATCGAGGTCGTCCCTACACCACGTTCGGAATACCAAGCCTGACTAACACCATAGTAACTGAGAGAGAGTTTTAGGGTTTTTACGACCTCTTCAGCCATCGGCTATTTCGCAGTCGGGACCAGACGGGTTAAACAATAATAATTAATAGTGGGAAATAAGAAAAGTAATCGGCTGGCCCAAAAAACTGTAAATTAGGGGGGATTAAGAAGAAAGAAATACAGTAAAGGGGGTAGAGAATGAGAGGGGATGAGAGAAATTAGTGGGAGTGTGGTAGAGCTGTAAGAAACCTAGTCTACAGGGAGCAAGTAGTAAATAGACTTTTAATGGAATATGATCAGTTAAGCTGATATGCTAGTATAGTACTATCTAGTAATAAATAAAGTAAAAAAAAAGTGGGGTGGGTGGAAAACCTACTTTAATAAACTTTGGGCTTATTGGCTGGGGTGGGGGACGCAGGAGTGAGGGGTAAGTCGCGGCCCTGAGCGTGTGAACTGGGCTTGGGTGAGTGGCTGGTTAAACGGGCATGGTTATTTGTGTCTGGATATGGGCGAAGTTTTCGCGCGGACGTCGGAGAAGTCGGTCCGCGCTGAGAATTTGGATCCCGATCCTAATTTGAGAAAGTGTGGATTTTGTATACAGTTTTAATGCTGTAATATCTTTGGGATTTTTCTAAAGTTTGCTTATGAGATTTGTTGTTTTAAGAAACATAGCTATATGGGAGAATTTAGATGGGTGATGAGAGGGGTTTAGTAATAATGTAATATTGTTTTTGAACTAGGGGGGGGGGGGGGGGGGGAGGGAGCTGTATAGTTGTGTTTGTTGTTGTTTATATTGTGGGCATTTGTGAATATGTGATCTAGATTTTCTGGTATGTTGCAGTGAAAGCAGTTTGGGTGTGGGTGTCTGTTTTGTTTATGAAGTGTTTTGTTTAGGTTCATTTGGCCGCTTAGCATTCTGTTTATAATTTTTTTCTGTTAGAATCGACTTTGTGAAGTTGCGGCACTTTATGACTGGTTTACTAAAGAGGGATTTTATCCATGTGGACTTACAATTTTGAATATTAATTTTGACATTTTGAAATAGAATGTTTTTTCTAATCAATGATTTAGTCTCGGCTTTACTGGTGGTGAAATTAATGCTTGGGGATGGTTGGGTGGTGGCTAATTTGGCCGCTGTGTCTGCTAGTTGGTTGCCTGTTATGCCAGTGTGTGCAGGTGCCCATAGGAGAGTTATTGTTTTGTTTGTTTCTGTGATATTTGTATGTATGTCAATAATGTTGTTTATAATGTCTTGCCTTGATTTGGATTTTTTGTTGTGGATCTGACTTAATGAGCCTAATGAGTCTGAAATTATTTAAAAGTTTGTGTTGTTAGATTGTTTTATGTAGTGATAAGCACATTGGATGGTGAGTAGTTCAGCTGTGTTGATATGTGTGTAGTTTGGATAGTGGAAGTTTGTGGTGATTGATGTGGGTTGTGTAATCTGTATGCCTAGTCCTGATTTGTTGTTGGTTGCTTGGGATGCGTCGGTATAGATATGGGTGTGTTTTGGCCAGTTTTGATGGATGTAGTTGTTAGTTATTGCTTTTTTGTCTAGTTTTTTAATATCTGGGTGTAGAGTAAATGTTTTGTGGAGGGTGAGGTCTGTTTCGGGGGGTGGTTTGTCATTGATGTATATGTTTGATGGGGCTGTATGTTTGATGTTTTCAAGTTTGTGTGTTTTGATAAGTTTATATAGGTGTGTAAGGTATGGGGCTAAGGTGTGATTGTTTTTGAATTTCTTGACACGGGCTTGACACTGGCACGTGCCCCCTAGCGTGCTCCTTATATGCCAATGTAACAATACACGGACGGCATTGTATATAATAAGCATTCCATATTGTAGTTTCCTGGAACATCGATTACAAAAACCTACTTTCGTTTCGCCCGTGTATTCTGTGTAAGGCTTTGTCAGGCGGTTTCTCGGAAAGCCGTAGCAGATTGTCGTCTCTCAGTCGGCGTACAGCGTTTGCAGGAGCCGGTTGTATGATGCAGGCACAGCAGGGTAAGAGCAACTCAGTGTTATTACCTATGTTTGATTATTAACCATTGAGAAGCTTGAGTCAACCTAAGTTTCCACATTTCTGGCAACCAGGGTTGACTAAATTCAACCTGAGTTAACCAAGAATAACTTAGGGAAGTAGAATATATCGCATTAAATCCAACATTAGCTTTAACACAAAATGGCTGCCAGGAGGAGAAACACAAGCGAATAGATATTTTAGTCAGCTACAGCTACAAACCCAGATATGTTTTAATTTCAAACTTTGAGCCTGAACAGTCTCAAGCTCTTTCTCAAGAACTTTCAGGGACAATTTTTGCACTTGCGTGTGTGTGTGTGTGTGTGTGTGTGTGTGTGTGTGTGTGTGTGTGTGTGTGTGTGTGTGTGTGTGTGTGTGTGTGTGTGTGTGTGTGTGTGTGTGTGTGTGTGTGTGATGTATATGTTTGATGGGGCTGTATATGTTTGATGGGGCTGTATGTTTGATGTTTTCAAGTTTGTGTGTTTTGATGAGTTTATATAGGTGTGTAAGGTATGGGGCTAAGGTGTGATTGTTTTTGAATTTCTTCAGGGTTACAGGTCTAAGGTTGCTGTACTTGGTTATAATCTGTTTGAGTATAGGATTGTGTTGTGCCCCAGCCCAGTAGTTTAAAATGGTTTGATTTCTTCTTAATTGTATGGAGGTAGTTCCTGATATAAGCTGTAGTGAGTTTAGTGCAGTACCGGTTCTAGTGCCCAGGGTTTATTTAAGGGCTTTGTACTGGATGGAATTAAGTTTTTTGTCAAGTTTTTCTGAAATGGAGTTGAGGACTGGAGCAGCATAGTCTAGCAGTGCCATGGACCGTGAACTTTGTTGTCTTAAGCTGTAGGGGAAATGGGATGTAGGGGTTTTGGGAGGTTACCGTCACTTAGTAAGTAAAGCGCTTTGATTCAGTCAGTTTGACAGCTAGCAGACGACACACACTAACAGAGTTACTTCCCTTCCCTCAAATTGATTGCATTCGGATAAACATTTCAGCTCGACGTTACTTGAGCCAGATATGCAAGTTAGCTAAGGTGTGTTACGGTTGTTTTCTCTACACGGTATACGACCTGGCAACACGAGCTTGCCACATGAAAGATATCTGCCCACGCCTTAACCAATCAGAATCTAGTATTTGATCTAAGGTAAGATAAAGTATTTGATCAATTTTACGTGAACAAATCATATCTCTTCAATCTGACATGGAGAAAATGATCAATTAATTGTAGACTGAACTATTCAAATTCACCGGGCAATGTTAAGTATCCATTACATACATTACAAACGCCCCTTGTATCTCGGTACGGCAAATATTATTATCACTGCTAGCCCCAAACTGGCATTATCAAACAACATTGGATTATTAGCGAAGCGCAATCTCGGTCACATGGAAATATATATTTAAGAACGCTCGTAGTTTAATGTATAAGTTAAATTCGTTGGAACTACTTGCTTTATAAACCAGTAGCGAATAATTATGACCCCTAGATTAATATTGTCATGTTTATACTGGCTAATATAGGAAAGCATTTACAGCAGCCACTGGCCATGAATATTTGATGATACATCTAGCCTGTATTTAGTGTATGATAAGATAATCTGGATATATGTTCTGTGTGAGCTGTTAAAACTGTATTGCTTGCGTCTGGATGATTTTCTTTTACACTTCCTGTGCAATTTACCAGATCGTATTTTTCTGTGGTATCCGTAGTGGATTTTTGTTGCTTTGTTTCTTAATAATAGTTATACAATTGTAACATAAAATAAGTTATAGATCCTTTTTACTGATATTTTATATAGAATTTTTTATTTTATTTAAAGCCTTTGATATCGGATCTGTTTTCTTCATATGCCCTCGCAAAACCAGCAATGGTTTTGTAGGTTTGGGTACATACGGAACACTGCAGACAGCCGTCGTGTTTTCTTTTCCTGTCTTTTTATTTAGTTGAAACGTTTTGGGAGATTTAACCGACGATTGGTAGCAATAACATCACGGTCATTCTCTTCAGTCCGAAAAACACCGTAGTCTGTGAATTCTCTAAGTAAATGGTCGAAGTCGGAATCGTCCAAATGAATGAACGCGTAAGTGGCAATGCCGAATGTAAATTGAAATATATGTGCTTATAGGTGCATGTATTTCGCGGTGGGCGTGGCTTAATATTTTACATTCATTAGGAAATGAATGCAATAACACGTGACCAATTCAGCTAATCAGAATGCAGGAATTTCCATGAACACAATGAAAATTTAAATATATGTGCTTATAGGAGCATGTATTTCGCGTAAGACACACATGTCAAGCGAACGTTTTGCAGCCAATTGACATGGAGATTTAATTAACGAGAGATAAGATAAAGAATATCCTAATCAGCTAAGAGAAGTCCTTTTATTAGATTGTCGCTGGTGGAAGATGGGGAGAACTTGGCTGTGGGAATAAACTCTAGGTATGAAGTATAATTGTTTACGTGGTAAGCAGAATAGTCAGTTGGGAATGTCTGCGCAACGGCAGCGGTACAGGGAGGTTAGCACCAGGTGTCAGGGGTATCAGTTACATGCCAGATCGTAGCGCCGATAGCTTAACGGGTGGCCGTCCTTATATAAGCAACATAATCTCTACACACCAGACGTATTTCATGATTAATAACGCATATCGATTTAATTTTCAACAAAATCAATAAAAGGGCTTTCGTGCAACTTGATTTTCTGGTCCTTCGATCGCTCGATTGTCTGGTTTGATTACAGGCCGCCGTCGCATGGCATACGTGCTGCTATGCGGCGTTAGGAACAAACACTCCCCTTTATGCAAATTGTGTGAGTGGCGGGTATTACCGTTAGGGCGGACATGCTTACTCTTTTCATCGATCCATTCATAATAATTTCTACCGTTATTTTGCCTTTCACGTCCGATGGAATACGTTTCGGTGGGTAATCGAGACTGGTTATTCTCCGGCGTTAAGGTTACACATTTATAGTTTAAGTACATCTTTCATACTTTCTTCCCGAATACCATGTTATTCTCTTCACGTGAACAAGAGAAGATTGTCAACGCGCACGTTGACGGGGAATTAGCTCTTGGGGGAATAAAGGACAAAATCGACATCACTGTCCCGGAACGCTTTATGCACAACATGTAAACAATAAACAACAATTGCACAATGAGCGGAATACCTGCTCTGACAACACAAACACAGCGATGAGCGGACCTTCCAGATCAGGCGTACAAGAGGTGAGCGGAGCTCCAGCTCACCTCAGGGCGTTTTCCACGAGCGGCACATCCTGCTCGAGGCTCACCTCCGGGCGTTTCCTACGAGCGGCGCATCCTGATCGAGGTCGTCCCTACACCACGTTCGAAATACCAAGCCTGACTCACACCATAGTAACTGAGAGAGAGTTTTAGGGTTTTTACGACCTCTTCAGCCATCGGCTATTTCGCAGTCGGGACCAGACGGGTTAAACAATAATAATTAATAGTGGGAAATAAGAAAAGAAATCGGCTGGCCCCAAAAAGTGTAAATTAGGGGGGATAAAGAAGAAAGAAATACAGTAAAAGGGGTAGAGGGGGGTGAGAGAAATTAGTGGGAGTGTGGTAGAGCTTTAAGAAACCTAGTCTACAGGGAGCATGTAGTAAATAGACTTTTAATGGAATATGATCAGTTAAGCTGATATGCTAGTATGGTACTATCTAGTAATAAATAAAGTAAAAAAAAAGTGGGGTGGGTGGAAAACCTACTTTAATAAACTTTGGGCTTATTGGCTGGGGTGGGGGACGCAGGAGTGAGGGGTAAGTCGCGGCCCTGAGCGTGTGAACTGGGCTTGGGTGAGTGGCTGGTTAAACGGGCATGGTTTAGTCGGTCTGGAAATGGGCGAAATTTTCGCGCGGACGTCGGAGAAGTCGGTCCGCGCTGAGAATTTGGATCCCGATCCTAATTTGAGAAAGTGTGGATTTTGTATACAGTATTAATGCTGTAATTTGTTTGGGATTTTTCTAAAGTTTGCTTATGAGATTTGTTGTTTTATAAAACATAGCTATATGGGAGAATTTAGAGGGGTTATTAGAGGGGTTTACTGATAATGTAATATAGTTTTTAAACTGGGGGGGGGGGGGGGGAGCTGTATAGTTGTGTTTGTGGTGAATATGTGATCTAGATTTTCTGGTATGTTTCAGTGAGAGCAGTTTGGGTGTGGGTGTCTGTTTTGTTTATGAAGTGTTTTGTTTAGGTTCATTTGGCCGCTTAGCATTCTGTTTATATTTTCTCTGTTAGAATCGACTTTGTGAAGTTGCGGCACTTTATGACTGGTTTGCTAAAGAGGGATTTTGTCCATGTGGACTTACAATTTTGAATATTAATTTTGAAATTTTGAAATAGAATGCTTTACTGGTGGTGAAATTAATGCTTGGGGATGGTTGGGTGGTGGCTAATTTGGCCGCTGTGTCTGCTAGTTGGTTGCCTGTTATGCCAGTGTGTGCAGGTGCCCATAGGAGAGTTATTGTTTTGTTTGTTTCTGTGATATTTGTATGTATGTCAATAATGTTGTTTATAATGTCTTGCCTTGATTTGGATTTTTTGTTGTGGATCTGAGTTAATGAGCCTAATGAGTCTGAAATTATTAAAAAGTTTGTGTCGTTAGATTGTTTTATGTAGTGATAAGCACATTGGATGGCGAGTAGTTCAGCTGTGTTGATATGTGTGTAGTTTGTATAGTGGGGAGTTTGTGGTGATTGATGTGGGTTGTGTAATCTGTATGCCTAGTCCTGATATGTTGTTGGTTGCTTGGGATGCGTCGGTATAGATATGGGTGTGTTTTGGCCAGTTTTGATGGATGTAGTTGTTGGTTATTGCTTTTTTGTCTAGTTTTTTAATATCTGGGTGTAGAGTAAATGTTTTGTGGAGGGTGAGGTCTGTTTCGGGGGGTGGTTTGTCATTGATGTATATGTTTGATGGGGCTGTATGTTTGATGTTTTCAAGTTTGTGTGTTTTGATAA